GCCTTGCGTTCTGATTTTGAAGGTCTTCGTGGAACAATTCTTCATCGCTCTCCTCTTCCTTCAGTTGATTCAGTTGTCCATGAGTTAATTGCAGAAGAGACTCGTATCAAGTCCCATGCAGATAAAGGGTTTAAAGCAACCTCTACTCCTACTCCCGCTCCTGCTGTGCTTGCTGTCTCCTCCAGTCAATCTCGACAAACTTCAAGAGTCGCTTATGATGAGTGTGCATTCTGCAAACAGAAGAATCATTGGAAAGTTCAGTGTCCATTGTTAGTCAACAAGGGTAAATATGGTCAACCTCAGTCAGGGCAACAAAATAGGTCTGGTCAACAGAAGTATCAGTCGCGTTCCTCTGGTACTCCTCCATAGACCCCTCGTCCTCCACAGTTTGCTGCTGCTGCTGTTCCACCAGTTGACACAGAATCTGTTGGACATATGCCACCATCTGCATTGGATCCCAAGGTGTTTGAGAGCTTTAGACAGTATTTGGCTTCTAATCCCACTGCCATGTCTGCATCTATGTCTCACTCTGGTCCTTCTTCATCTGACACTTCAGGTATTCCCTCATCTTTGTAGATTTTAGATTCTGGTGCAACCCATCATATGACTCCTCATTTGTCATCATTTACTTCTTTGTCGCAAGTGTCATCTATTTCTGTTAAGTCTGCTAGTGATACATCTATGCTAGTTGAGGGTGTTGGGTCTGTCTCTGTTTCTCATATCACTCTTCCTTATGTTTATTACATTCCCAAACTTACTTTGAACCTTGCCTCAGTCAGTCAGTTATGCAAGTCTGGTAACTAGGTGTTCTTTTCTGATTATGTCTGTGTTATACAGGATCAACACACCCAGAAGGTGATTGGGATCGACCGTAGGGTGGGGGAACTATATGTCTTGGAGGTCCTCAAAGTATCTGTTGTTGCTGCTTCCAGCATTGATTTATCTTCTTTTCGTGTGAGTCCTTTGTCGTCTGAATTTTATCTTTGGCATTCTCGTTTGGGACATGTGTCTGTATCACGGTTGAATTTCTTAGCATCTAGTGGTGTTTTGGGTCATTTAAACTCTTGTGATATTTCTGATTGTAGTGGTTGCAAACTAGCAAAATTTTCTGCTTTACCCTTCAATAAAAGTATGTCTTGTTCTACTGCTCCTTTTGATATTATTCATTCTGATGTGTGGGGTCCTGCACCAGTATCCACAAAGGGTGGGTCAACCTATTATGTATCTTTTATAGATTATTATACTCGATATGCATGGGTTTATCTTATGAAACGCATATCTGATTTCTTTGGTATTTACAGCAATTTTAGAGCTCTTGTTAAAACTCAACATTCGGCTGTGATTAAGTGCTTCAGGTGTGACTTAGGGGGTGAATATACCTCTAATGATTTCACTCAGTTACTTGCTTCTGATGGTACCATACACCAGTCTTCATGTACTGACACACCTCAGCAAAACGGTGTGGCAGAACGAAAACATCGTCATATTGTTGAGATTGCCCGCTCATTGCTCCTGTCTGCGCAGGTTCCTAGTGCCTTTTGGGGAGAAGCAGTCCTAACTGCTGTGTATGTGATTAATCGTATCCCTACTTCATTGAATTCAGGAATATCTCCTTTTGAGAAGTTATATGGTCATCCACCAGACTACTCTTCCTTACGAGTTTTTGGATGTACTTGTTTTGTTCTTCGTCCTCATGTTGAAAGGAACAAGCTGGGGCCGAAATCTGCTATTTGTGTATTTTTGGGGTATGAGATTGGTCAGAAAGGATACCGTTGCTATGATCCTGTGAGTCAGAAGCTATATGTTTCTCGACACGTTACTTTTTTGGAACATATTCCTTTCTACTCGATTCCTGCTACAGCCCACAATGTAACAAAGTCTGATCTTCTGCGTATTGATCCTTTTAATGAAGATATAGAGGCTCAAGACTCATCTATGCCACATGATCCCTCAGCACATGACACACCCACTTCTTCAGAGGGTGCCTCGACTCCACCTGTTCCTGAGCCTGGTCCTCCGATTATTGAAGTTGAGGATCCTCCTCTACCACCACCCCTCAGGAGATCTTCTCGTCCTGTCAAGTCCACCAAGCTACCAGATTTTTCTTACTCTACATATTCAGGACCGTTTGCTTCATTTATAGCAAGCATCCATCATCTCTCTGAACCTGAATCATATAGAGAAGCTGTTTCAGATCCTCTTTGGCAGAATGCTATGGCTGAAGAACTCACTGCTCTTCATCAGACTCATACATGGGATTTGGTTTCTCTTCCTCCTGGGAAACATACGATAGGTTGTCGTTGGGTGTACAAGATAAAAACAAAAGTTGATGGCTCTGTTGAACGATATAAGGCTAGACTTGTAGCAAAAGGGTATTCCCAACAGTATAGTTTTGACTACGAGGAGACATTTTCCCCAGTTGCAAAGATGACGACAGTTCATACTATGATTGCAGTTGCATCCGTTCGACAGTGGAAGATCTTTCAAATGGATGTCAAGAATGCCTTTTTGAATGGTGACCTTCATGAAGAGGTTTATATGACCCCTCCTCCAGGAATTCAGCACCAACCGGGCGAGGTTTGTCGGCTTCGTAAAGCTTTGTATGGGCTCAAGCAAGCCCCTCGTGCTTGGTTTGAGAAATTCTCCACAGTGATTACCTCTCTTGGATTTGTCCAGAGTAATCACGATTCTGCTCTGTTTGTTAGATGCTCGAGTGCAGGACGGATTCTTCTATCCTTATATGTGGATGACATGATTATTACAGGTGATGACCATGGTGGTATTGAGTCTTTGAAGCATGATCTAGCTCGTCGATTTGCTATGAAGGATTTGGGCTTGCTGCGTTATTTCTTGGGTATTGAGGTCGCTCAGTCTAAGAAAGGGTACCTTCTTTCCCAGACTAAATATATATCTGATTTGTTTACACGGGCGGGACTTTCTGACAATCGGACTGTTGATACCCCTCTTGAAACCAATGCTCGATACTCTCCTACTGATGGTGTTCCTTTGTCTGATCCGAATCTTTATCGTACTGTGGTGGGAAGTTTGGTTTATCTCACAGTCACTCGTCCAGATATTGCTCATGTTGTTCATATTGTCAGTCAGTTTGTTACTGCACCTACCTCTGTTCATTGGGGAGCTGTTCTTCGTATTCTGAGATATCTTCGTGGCACTCAGTTTCAGACTCTCTTGTTTCCCTCGACGTCTTCTCTTGAGTTACGTGCCTATAGTGATGCTGATTGGGATGGTGATCGTCATGATCGTAAGTCTACCACTGGATTTTGTGTATTTCTTGGAGAGTCTCTTATTTCATGGAAGAGCAAGAAACAGGATGTTGTCTCTAGATCTTCCACGGAGGCTGAATATCGTGCTATGGCTGTAACTACATGCGAGATTATCTGTTTCCTCATTGTTTTTCATTTTGGTTTTCTGGTATATGTAACTTAGTTTTAAATTAAATTACAAAATGGAACCTGTGCTTTCTAAGATTTACTATGTTTGGTGTTTAGTCCACAATTGAAATCTTTTTAAATTTGGTTCTTGTTTCAAGGTTTCATATCGATTTTGAGGTTCTCTGGACCAAAATTGGTGTGAAGCTTTGAATTAAGGACCAAAATTGAATTATTTTTTTTTATTTTGAACTAAATATGGTAAAAAATCAGAAAGCAGGGGACCATTTTGTAGAAATTTCCAAACATCAAAAGAGTTGAATTAATGATCATGCTAACAACTCCAACACCACTCTAGTCCATTGAATTGAATTGGGACTCCAAAGTCCAAACCAAAATCCAAATTTACATCTTGTCGATTCTTTTAATTTCACCACATAACATTACTATTACGATTAACCACTTTCAACTTCTCAAGTACACCATACTTCCTTTCTCTTGGAAAATGCTAGAATTAGGATGCAACATAAGCCTTAACAATGAAATATTGGGTAGCTTTTACAAGTCCTTAAATATTGGGGTGTCATAAAACTAATAATATTGTCCTAAGATGCATAGTTGATTGGTTGGTCCATAAGTTTTTCATGCCCCGGATGAAAAATATGTAATAATGCCCTTTTTCATGTAATCACAAAATCCTTTTTTCAACTCATATACAAAAAAAAAATATAATAATAATAATAATGCAAAATGTTTCTCTTTTTTCAGTTTTATGTTTTGAACATTGAATGGTTGTGGTCAAAGAAACATGTTTCATGTCTTTGACATATAACAAATATATCATATAAAATAATCCTTGGGCAAAGAAAGATGAAACCTGACTAAAGTTTATGTTTCAAGATACTCGAAACTTTTGGAACAAAGCAACCTGAAAAAAAAAGCCAAATTAATATGAGATTGGAAAATAATTAATAAATTATTTATTACAAAAATTGTGGCTTTATCATAAACGAGTCTTATTTATTACAAAAATGTAACTTTGAAAAAGCTATTTAAACCCGTATATGAAATTCCTAAATTGCCCTTAGGATCATGAAAGGTCGGACTCTGGCTTTATTAATTTTCAAACGACTGTGGACAGTGGATTCACTATTGAATTCCCCTTTTTGATGTTGCATCATTGTAATTAATACCTTTGCATAAGTTAAATTAGTGTTGCCTCCATATATATACAACACAGTAAAAATTATCATGCATTATCTTCTTTAGCTTCATTATGTCTGTTAGGAATGGGGTTGCCCATTTTACCAAACTAAAATCATGTATATCTCTCTTAGTTTTATTTTGTATAGTCTCTTAGTTTGTATATCTCTCTTAGTTTTAGGAATCAGGGACCATAATTGATGTGATCATGTGAAACCTTGAAATAAGGACTAAAGTTGAAAAACTTTTGATTCTGGAACTAAACACAGTAAAAATGAGAAACCATATCGACCATTTTTGTAATTACTTTTAGAATCATTTTAACTTTCAGTTCCTTTTTTCTCTGTGTGCTCTTGTGGCTTAGAATTTTTTAAAGTTGCAACTTTTAAAAAGCTTTTGCTGATCTTTATGAGTTTTGGACATTTACAGCCTCTTTTTCCTGGTGAAAGTGGTGTAGATCAGCTGGTAGAGATTATCAAGGTACGTTCTGCTCTGTTATGTTTTTTTATATCTTTTGGTGCCTTCATATAAGAATAGACACTGTTTTTGTATATATTTTGGTGAATAGACACTGTTTTTATGCTAGTTGAATTTAACAGGTTAATTGAGAATTAGATGATAGTTTGAGAATTAGATGTTGTAATAAGAAGAAAAGAAGGATGCAACAATAAACAAATAAATGGAAGATAAATAATGTCCTGAATAACATTTTACAAAATACAGCCAAAAATAAAGACCTGAAGATCTGACTTTGCTAGATTCCCATTTGTGGGGTGAGAGAGTGGAAGTTTGGTGATACTAATGACATAACTTAATTCGTTAATGAACGAACTTGCTAATTCTAATCATTTAGGATGATGTCGCTGGATGCCTTGAGTACAATGTTGACCTTGTTGAAGAGTTGGATAGAAAGCAAAATGCATCTGTTGCTCTTCCAATGGATACATTTAAGTGTCATCTTATCAGGGAGCCTATTGGTGTTGTTGGATTGATTACTCCATGGTATACTTAATATTTCCTCTCTCTTCTGATTCAGTGATTCTTATACTTGGTGTAATACAAAGTTCAAACAATCATCTCCTTTATTATACTTGTAGGAATTACCCTTTGCTGATGGCCACATGGAAAGTTGCTCCTGCCCTGGCAGCTGGATGTGCTGCCATACTCAAACCATCAGAATTAGCATCTCTGTAAGTAAGATTCTTTCTGTATTTTTTTAATGTTGGCTACTCTTGCTTATGTATATGATATGAGTTGCTATCCGATTCCAGTACTTGTCTGGAATTAGGTGAAATATGCAGAGAGGTGGGACTCCCTCCTGGTATTCTCAATATTCTGACTGGATTAGGTCAAGAAGTAGGTGCTCCATTAGCAGCTCACCCCAATGTTGACAAGGTCTAGTACTCTAGTTCTTGTTTCCTTTAAATGCTATTATTCACCTCTTTTAGGCCAAAATACTAAAATGGTGAAAAATGATTCTTTTACAGATTGCATTCACTGGAAGCAGTGCCACATAAGGTCATGATTGCTGCTGCTCAAAATGTTAAGGTATTAATTAATTTTCCATGATTTTTGTTTCAGACTTTCAGTTCATTTTTGAATGAGAAGGAGAAAGAGGACAAGAAAAGAACATTATATTAACCTTGGATTTCATTCTCATTTTATTTTTGTAATGGTTACTTTTCAGTCTGTTACACTTGAACTAGGTGGGAAAAGTCCAATAGTGGTGTTTGATGATGTGGACATTGATAAAGGTTTCTTGTTTCTGGATTTTATGTTAATTTGATAGTACAATTATTAGTGCAGAACAGATTAGATATTATCTCAATCAATTATTAATTTATTATAATGAAAAAAAGAAGTAACTTTTTTTTCTTGATTGGCATACAAACAGTTGTTGAGTGGATGCTGTTTGGTTGTTTTTGGACAAATGGTCAGATATGCAGTGCAACATCTCGGCTTCTAGTACATGTAAGTCATAAAATAATTTGAATTTTGAAAGTGTATGTTGAATAAAATAATAATGATATTTGTTTCAGGAAAGTATTAGTGAGGAGTTTTTAGAGAAGCTTGTTAAGTGGGCTAAAACCATAAAGATTTGTGACCCTTTGGAGGAAGGTTGTAGGCTTGGGCCTAAAGTTAGTGCTGGACAGGTAATAATTTAAATATGTATATTCCTTTTATGGGTTTTTGAAAACGGATTAAAAGAATTAAGTGATTAATTGATATTTCAGTATGAAAAGGTATTGAAGTTTGTATCAACAGCCAAAAGTGAAGGTGCAACCATTTTATGTGTTGGAGAATGTCCTCAGGTATACCTCTCCTTTTTTTTAAATAAAGAAAAGTATATTTCTTTGATGAAAATAAATCGCCATGTTAAAAAAAATACAGCATTTAAAAAAAGGATTCTATATGGAGCCAGCCATCGTTAGTAATGTTACTCAGTGAATTAGCAAACGATACTCAGTGAGTTAACTCAACTCAACTCAATGATTATATCATATATATTTCTTAACTTGTTTTGTGATGGATGTATTTGCAGTTATGGACTGGGTGCTGCTGTAATATCCAAAGATTTGGAAAGATGTGAGCGTGTATCAAAGGTATAATAATATAAATCATTAGTTTTTCAATAATAATAATAATAATAACATATACATTACTTATTTACTTATGAAGTATGTGTATATATGTACAGGGTTTTGAGGCAGGTATTGTATGGATCAACTGCTCGCAGCCATGCTTCTCTCAAGCTCCATGGGGTGGGAAAAAGCATAGTGGTTTTGGTCGTGAGCTAGGAGAATGGTTATGTCATTAATGAACCATTCCATTCCTTCTTTCAGGTTTCTGTTTTTTCAAGTTTTTTTTTGCTATAAAAAACATGGTGTGATGTTTCCGGAGGAGTCAAGAAAGGAAGAATATATGGATTCGGATCTGTGTCTGATCCAACGAGCTTTTTAGAAGGAACATCTAGTATAATAACATCCCAAGAGGTTCGTTTAATTTTGTACTTTATAAAAATTTCCTATCATAGCATTGTACTTACAAAGTTTCATATCATGGCATTGTACTTACAAAGTTTCATATCATGGCATTGTACTTTAGGTTGTCTATGAACGTGTACGAAACGAGATGCTAAAGCTGCAGAAATGGAAGCTAAACATCAAAAAATGCGTGAGGAAATGGATGCCAAAGCTGCAGCAATAGATGCAAAACAACAACAAATTGATGCAAAATTTGAAACAATGGAGAAGATGTATGCAGCCTTGCAAAATATGATGGGAAATTGAAAATTAGAGGTAATATGATTTTAACCATTAGTATTTGATGTTTTTGAATGACTTGTTAACCTTTTGTATTTGATGTTTTTGATTGTTTTGAATAATGTTTTATAGGAATGAGAACCGAAGATGATTGGATGGACATGAAATGAAGAGAGCAGCTAAAATGTTATTTTGAAGGTTAAACTTTTTTCTGTTTGTACCTCTTTTGCATACTTTGGATTTCTTGGTGTTAAAATGTTCTCAACCGTTGGGAGTTTGATGTTATGTTGGACAGTTTTGTTTTTGGATGTTTTTTGAATGATACTTTGGTAAACTTTGATAGTTTTAGTATTATAATGTTTGGTTGTATCATAGTTTGATGATTGTAGTATTTTTTTTTCTTTTAGAATCATAATAAAAAAAATGATATTCCAAGTTCATGACGGATTAGTGACAAAAAAAAAATAATAATAATGCATGAATTTTACGAGGGATTAGCTACGTAAAAAAAATAATGTCTAAAGTTTGCGACGGATCAGCGACGAAAAAAAAAGTTAATGTATGAATTTTGCAAGGGAGTAGCTATGGAAAAAAATCATGTCTAAAGTTTGCGACAGATCAGCGACGGAAAAAAAATTAGTATATAAATTTTGCAAGGGATTAGCTACGAAAAAAAACTGATCACTGAAATTTGCGACAGAACAGCGACGGAATGACTTTAACAAATTTTGTCGCTTTAGCCTTGAGTAAATGTATTGTGTGACATTAGCGACGGATATTCTGTCGCTACATTTGTCGCAAGAAAAAAGCGATCCGTCGCTAAACCCTTGCTGAGTAATTAGCCACGTTTTAATTACCTATGGAGTGAATCCGTCGCTGATCCATCGCAAACAACATTTAGCGACAGAATAGCGACGGATTCTTCCGTCTCTAAAACCCATGTTTCTAGTAGTGAACTTATTTTTTTTTAACTTTTATTTTTTTAAAAAACTTAGATTTTTTTAAACTTTTATTTATGGATTTGATACAACTTCTTATTATAGTTTTCACAAAAAAAAAAATTAACTTGATTTAAAAAAAAACTTTATTTTTTTTAATTTTTTTGCCGTTTCTGTTAATAATATTTTTAGTTTCAATTTCATCTTTTTTAACGTGTGTAAATTTTTACGAACTTTGTAGACATCGTTTGCAATTCTTTATTACTTTTTTTTATTATTTTCTTTTTTATGTTTTTTAAAATTAGTTTTTTTCTAGAATAAAGTTGTTAGCTTCTTTTATATTTTTGTAAGTTTTTTTAAAAAGTTTTGTATTTTTGTTTTTTTACATGTTCTTTTTAGTATTCTTTCAATATTTTAAGACTAGAATTATTTAAATTTCGGTATTGAAAACTATTTTCAGTTTATAAAATTAGTTTATTTAAACTTCAGTTTACTGCAGCAGTCTGCAGATGTTAAAAAACAAACATGCTTCTTATTATGGGCTGCAGCCGTTTGTTCCACATCTTCTGCTACAGAGGATTGCAGAGGTGGTCCGCAGACTTCATGAATTTTCGCTTCGATGTGTTCAAATACCGTTTTTTTTAAACAAACTTTAAACCTAAGTAAAAATTATGTTATTTATCATTCTCGATTTACCATTTTCCATCGGTTTTTGTCCAACTATGAAAACCAACACAACAAACAAATGCTCTATACATTAATTGCATAATAAAACTAATTGCTGAATGAAATTATTCGCCGCCGCCGCTTTGCGCGGGTAGACGACTAGTATATGTATATAAACAAAATCGTAAATTTCAATTGTTAATTGTGTTTAGTGTTTACATTTTTAAAAACGTTATATAAGTTATTTGGTCGCATTAGTCAATAGTCATTATCATGTTAAAGAAAAAAAATTAAAACATTACTTTAGCGTTACTTTCAATAGAATTCTTTTGAAAATTAAAAAAACTGCATAACTAATTTCTTTACTAAACGTCTAAATTATCCGATGTATTTGCTTATTTTAAAATCCTATAATAGGCTATTAAAAGAAGTTGGTATATACCATTACCAATTTGTACCAACCAAACTTATTGGTAGCCAAATATATTGGTATCAAGTATACTTGGTACGGTACCGGTAACAAATTTTTTATACCAATTATAATTGGTACGGTACACGGTTTAAGGAAAAAGGAATTGGTACCGTACCAATTCCACCCCTAGTGTCATGTATAGGAAATGACTCTTTTATTAAGATAGAAAGAAGACGAGAATGGTTTTGTTTTCCTTTGGTTAATTTTGCCGTTGGATCGAGTAAACATGTATGGATTATGTTTTGAATAATTTTCTTTGTGTTGCATGATTGTTTGCAAAATTTTCCTTAAATAAATAATAAAATAAAAAATGACTCGACTTTTAAAATATTATTCGATTAAACTTATAAATAAAACATGCTTTTAAACTAAATTAGTTTTCTGTAACAAGAGACCAACAAAACTCAAAATTTGGATTTTTGAAAAAACCGAAAAACAAAAAGTATATGTTTATGTTCAATTTGCTTGGAACATTTTAAAACCGCATATAGTTTTTTTTTTTTGACATGTTTAAGGAAATATCCACAATCTACTATAATAAATGAAGATCAATTTTGCCACATATCAATCTCTCATAAGTTTTGACATTTGTCATTTTGTAATATTTAAAAATATATATATCCACATGCCAATTTCTAGATTTTTTTCAATTTTTAAAATTAAAGTAATATAATACTTATACTTATATATGTAAAGTATTAAATGTAACAAATCTACTATAATAAATGAAGATCAATTTTGCCACATGTCAATCTCTCATAAGTTTTGACGCTTGTCATCCTCCCTAATAAATAAAGAACTTTTTGTCATTTGTCAATTCCTTATGCATTTGGACACATTTAATTTTGTGGTTAATTTTTAGAAATTAATTTTCACTTGTCATTTTGTGGTAATTTTTTATTTTCTTAATTAACTATCTAATTTTTAGGTTATAGAAAGTAATTAATGTGTCATTAATTTGTTTCCCTATATTTTCAAATTTTAATATGTTTCCTTCAATATATATAATTCAAAATTGACATGTTTTTTTTTTAAGTTTATTGTAATTTTAGGCAAAATGGTCTATATAAAAAAAAATAATCATACTTTGTTGTTTTTTATTGATATTTAACGTTTTCTTTAAAAAAAATATTTAAAGTTTATATCTTCATATATAATTTTTTTTAAACAACCCGTGTACTACACGGGATTCACACCTAGTTTTGTAATATTTTAAAAAAAATAATATCCACATGTCAATGTCTAGATTTTTTCAATTTTTAAAATTAAAGTAATATAATACTTATACTTATATATGTAAAGTATTAAATGTAACAAATGTGATAATAAATTGCAATTAATATGTTTTTCATTCCTTATTTTGAAATTTTATTTTAAAAAATATTTATTATTTACACTTTGATATTTAATCTTTTTAAATCAACCCGTGTATTGCCCTCTCTCCTTGAGGTTGAGGGTTCAAGTCTCGTCGTGGACATAGGTGGATTTAAGGTGTAGTTTAGGAGTAGGTTAGATTTACCAATTCAAAAAAAAAAAAAAACCCGTGTATTACACGGGTTTTACACCTAGTTGTAGAAATAAAACTCGATGATTTTATTTATAAATACAAGAATGATTACTAAGGCATTTTTCCTTTATTATTAAATTTACAAATATACATTTATTTAAAAAAGCCTCTGTATTATAAATACAAATATAAGACACCACTTGCTTTTGAGCTTTGAATGCCACATTTTGTGTATCACGATTTATGTTAAATAAGCACCAGGTGTTTTCAAAAGGACAATGTTGTAATAGCTTAAAATTTATAGCTCTCAACATAAGCATAAGTGGGTCAAAAGAAGGTGCAACAAATAGAGAAATCATCTTCTTCAAGTCATGATACTTGCCTTCTTCATGACAGGAGTTGATATAGAACTTATATGAGCAGTATGAACACTGTGATTCCTCCTACACACAAAGAACATTTTTACGAAGTTGAAGGATTAGAATAAAAATAATTATATGCATAAATTGACAGTGTTCTCTCTTTCTTTAGGGATCAAGTTCCAATTCAATATCTTGCAAATCAAAAATATTAAATTATGTTCTTTTTCTGTGATTTCTTGATTCAAACAAATTATGCTAATTCAGATGTTTATTGTCGTAAGTTTGTTTGACTACCACCAATTCACGATCGAAATGATAGCCTCTAACCATACCTTCTGTCTAAAAAGGTCCGGACTGAAAAAGAATATATACTTATTTCGAAAAACCCAAATTCAAAAAAGAAATCATAAACATTGTTCACAAGAAGAAGCACACCAATTGTAAAAGTAAAAGAGAAAAATACAAAAATAGACATTTTTCCTAATCATTTTGTAGAAAATAACCAAAAGAACCCAAAATTACAAAAATAACCATTAAAATCGCAGATGGATTAAGGCCATCTGTGATTTTGCATTCTCATCTGCGAACATACAAGTTGTTAAAGCAAGCTCGTGCAGTGGAGAGTTGTATGTTCGCAGATGGATCTGTCCATCTGTGAACATGAGAGACCATCTGCGATTTTAGCTTTTTCAGAGTATAAATACATTAAATTTTTTTGGAACACTCATTTTTCTTGATTTTTGTTAGGGAAAAGTCTATCGGACGGACTTTTCCAAGTGAAAAAAATTGTTGACGTACAATATAAAGGTACAATGCATCGGAAATCAGTTTTATAATACAAATCATATTTATATCACAATTGTCTAATATATTTACATAATATTTGCATAAAAAAATCAGTTGACTACAAATATAAAACATGAAAACCGAATGTACAACCTCACAAATACAAATGTACAACTTCAGGATGTATACAAATCAGTTTTTTAACACAAATCATATTATTATCACATTGTATAACATAGCTCCCTCCGAGAGGCTTTTCCCAAAAAAAAGAAATCAAGAAAAATGAGCTCTTCAAAAAAAAATAAGGTATTTATACCCTGAAAAATATAATATCAGAGATGATCCCATGTTCATAGATGGACAATATAATATCGCAGATGATCCCATGTTCATAGATGGACAGGTCCATCTGCGAACGTATAACTCGCTTATGCACTGTTTTCTGCAAAGAGATTAAGAAAAATGGCTATTTTTGTAATTTTCTCAAAATAAAATAGGTATTTAACAGCGCTTACCTCCAGATATGTAAAA